TTCGTTAAAAACATCACGTAGTGGCTAGGTGCAGTGGCTCACGCCTATAATCCTAGCTTTCTGGGAGGCCGAGGCAGGTGGATTGCTGCAGCTCAGGGGTTTGACACCAGCCTGAGCACAGTGAAACCCCGTCACTAGAGACAAACAAAAAAGACAACAACAACAAAAAATACACTAAACCACAAAACACAGCCTGGCACTGTGGTGTGTGCCTATAGTCCCAGCTATCTGGGAGGCTGAGACAGAAGGATCACTCAAAGCCCAGGACCTGGAGCTTGTGGTGACTACAGTCACTGCATTCTATCCAGGGACACTAAGTGACACTCTGCCTCAACAGCAACAACAACAAAGAAAATGGGAAAAAAACTTCACATAGTATTTTATTTGACAGGGTAATTTTGCAAAATACAATGATGCCACCCAGTCATTTGGCTTGATTTCTCTGTGCACTTGTCATTATTACTATTAGTTTCTTTTTAAAACTCATGACTCGATTCGCTTCTTAAACACCATTCTCTGCTTGTTTCCTGTTTCCTTGCCCCACTGGTTTTGTCACCTACTCCTCTTCTATCAACCTCTACGTTTCTTCTGGGTTTTACTCTTGGACTTCTTCCTTCTTACTCTATACTCTCCCCCTGGCTAATTACATCCACTTTTGTGTCTTTAATTAAATCTGCCTACTGGCGACTTCTGAATCTGTATCTGCCAGACCTCCTTTAGACTTGTAGACACATAATGTTTAACTCCTGGATGCCTCCACCTGGATATCTTTATGGCTTCACATTCAACACTTCCTAATTCCCACTGCTACCATCAGCACCATGACCCATCCCAACACGCACAAACACACCATATTCTTCTCTCCTGCCTATGTTGCCTGTCTCAATTAATAGTACTGCCACATGGCAATCTCCCTATCCTCTCCCTCATCCCACATATTCAATCAGTCACTAAGTACTCTGCATTCCACCTCCTTATCGACCCTGAAAATTATTTCCTACTATAGTGAGTAGAACTGTATTCTCCCAAAATATATGTTCAATATATGTCCAAACCCCCAGTAGCTACACGTGTTTGGAATAGAGGCTTTGCAGATGTAATCAAGTTGAGGCCACACAGGATAAGGTTGGCCCTACTCCAGTGATTAGTGTTCTTATAAAAGGGAGATTTTAACACATAGAGAGAAGAATGCCATGCAAAGACATGAGACACAGAAGACACTTAGGGAGAATGCCATATGAAGACAATAGCAGAGGTTGAAATGATGTGTGTACAAGCCAAGGAAAACTAAGGGTTGCTAACTTCCACAAGAAGCTAGAAGAGAGGCACTGGACAGCTCCTCCCTCACAGCAATCAGAAGGAACCAACCTTACCAACACCTTGATTTCAGATTTCTAGCCTCCAGAACAATGAGACCATAAATTTCTGTTTTTAAGTTACCTAGTTTGCGGTACTTTGTTACAGCAGCCATAGGAAATGAATACATCATCCCAACAGAATTGCTTGTCTTACCCTTTTCATATACCCTGTACAGCCTTCTGCTGCAGTTGTTTGCATTCTTCTTAGGCCTTCCAGCATGAGCTCATAAGGCCCTTGAAAGAAGGAATGGATCATTATTCACATTCGAACACTTAAGTGTTAGGCACCGCGTCTGGTTCATGTAAAGCATGTAAGGTTTCATGAATAATGAATAAATAGGAGGAAACAGTACCCTGAGGTTATTATTTTATGTTTTTCTCCTTGTCTTCCCCTCATTCCCCCAACTAGCATGTAGCTCCATGAGTGCAGGAGCTGTTTTATCAGCAGTACCTGGAATGTACTAGTTGCTCAACCATTATTGTTTGCTTGAATAAATGATTACATGAATGAATCAATATGATGGGGAAGTCACTGGAAAGGAAGATGAAAAAGCTTCCTAAAGGAGCTGATGGGCTTGGCTCTGCTCTCTGCTGCCTTGTACCAGAGCTGCCAAGCCATGTTGAAGTCTGAGGCAAAAGGAAAAATATGTACTCCTGTACATGTTTTCATGCATTTTTAAATGATTATTTTTTCCAGAACATTTAAAGGAGTTGAAAAAATGCTGAAAAAACTGAAAAGTAAGTATAGTAAAACTCACATTATTCTAAGCTTCAGTTTTATTTACATACACCAAAACCAGAATATTTTCAAATACAGTCATGTATCGATTAACAACCAGAATGCCATCTGAGAAATGTGTCACTGTTGGGCTATAAACCTGTACAGTATGTTACTGTGCTGAACACTGTAGACAGTTGTAACACAATAAGTAGTTGTGTATCTATACATAAAGGTACAGCAAAAATGTGGTATTATAATCTTATTGGACCACTGTAGTATATGCCGCTCCTTGTTGACTGAAGTGTCATTATGTGGCTCAGGACTATTAGTAACACTCTCCTAGCTTTAGTGGCAGCAATGATATTTTCAAAACCTACTTCTTTGCTTACTTATCTCGACTTCAACTGAGCAAATTGCCATAGTATTTGACAATTTCTTTTGACCAAAGGAAGAGCTTATGTAACACTAAATTACCTTCCATCTCATTGGTCTTGTCTTTGCATTAATTTCGATTTTTAAAAAATATCGCATGAAAATATTATCTTGATTTGTAAACTTTTGGGGGCGCCCTTAAGTTTTGCACTTCCACCACCGCCTCCACTGTACCCGTAGTCTTCTCCTAGCAACCGAACCGCCCGCCCCCCGCCAGGCCACCACGCGCAGGCGCAGGGCGGGAGGGGCGAACTTGGCGCTCCCTCTTACGGAAGGCGCTGCACACTCGAATGCGACCAATCAGAAACTGCGTCGGCCTCCCGTCCAATTAGCTAGGAGGAGGCGGGGCTTCAGCCCGGAGCTGTCTCCAGGAGGAAGTGCGGCGCCATCTCTTACCGGAAGTGCCGGAGGTTTGGAACCGCGGTTTTGCAGTGCACCTGGGGGCTCTGGTTCCTTTATCCCAAAAAGGAAGGAAAAAGGCACGGCGGTGTTGGTGCCCGCCAAACGTGGGCAACTGGCGGGTCCCATGAGCCCTCCCCCCTCCATCTGCTCCGGGGCCTTTAGGTCTCTGCCACACCTGTCTGCCCTTTCTGGTCAGGGTGGGTCGCCCGGTGTTCGGGATTCCTGTCTCCTACAGGGAGACAGGAGGTCAGGGTCTGACTTCCAACCTGAATATCCTTTAAAAAGGTGATGTTGGCTTGGGAGCCGGCAGCGCATAGATGGATGTAGGTGACTTGGGTCTGTCTCAGAGTAAGGGCTCCTATTCCTCTGAACGTAAGGCCTTGCTACTGAAAATAAGGTCCGAGAGCAGGCATTGCCTGGGTGACTGATAAAAATGCATAATCTCAGGCCTCCTGAATTAGAATCTTCATTTTAACAACACCCCAGGTGGTTTCTGTGCATGTTAATGTTTCAGAGCCTTATTTCACGTCCAGAGGACAATACTGATGCCTGCATTTAGCTCTGGAGATGATGGCTTATACTGCAGACCTAATGGAGGTGCTAAGATTCAAGCCTTGTTAGTAAGATTCAGGATCTTTATGACATCCCAGACATCACTTTCCACTTAATCAGGATGGTATAACAAAAGTAATAATGTGGGATGATACAGGTAAAAAAACCTATGGTACTTGGGAATGTGTAGAATAACCCCGGAAAGAGAAACCAGTGTATACAAAGGGATGCTCAATCAACCTAAGTTTGAAAGACTGATAGAATGTGTATTAGGAATGGATGGATTTGTTCACCAACTTGCATCCCACAGACATTGTCTCTAATCAAAGAACTCAATTTTTAGTGAAAGGGACATGGTAGTCACCAAGATGATTCTCAATGTGTAATCCCTTCCCACACTGAATTGGGCTGAGGTTGTAAGCAATAGTCTCTTAGTGACTTCTGGAGCTATGTGGAAAAGATATGTGGCTTCCATCTCCTTAAAATCACTTGCTCTAAAAAAAACAAACTATACCATGTGAAGATGTATCAAATTAGCTAACTGCTAATAGAGCCATCCTGTGAAGGAGCCATCTTGGAAACTGATCCTCCAGCCTCAATTAAGCCTTCAGATGACCAAGCCCCTGTTTACAACTGCAGTCTCATAAGAAACTGATCCAGAACCATTCAGCTAAACCAGTACCAGATTCCTGACCCACAGGATCCGTGTGGGAGAATTGTTTACTGTTTTAAGTTGCTATGTTTTAGAATAATTTATTATTCAACAATGGATAACTAATACATGAGGTAAGGCTGATGCCCATGGAATTCATTGGTATCTACTTGTACACTGTCAGCAGAAGCAACTGACTTTATGGAATAGTGAAATGGTCTTTTAAAGATTCAAAGCTTAGGGCTCATTTTACAGGATACAGTATAAGATTCATACTAATAGACAATATATGCTGAACTTTCTCCAAACCAGGAGTTTATAGGGCAAGGAAACAAGGGATACAAGTAGACATATCTTCTTGTACTACCTAACGATTTGTTTGCAAAAGTTTGTTTCTTATCCAAGCACCACTGGGCTCTGCAGAGACTTCTTGTTGGCCAATTTGGGCTCCATCTGTTACTGGATAAACTGACCAAAAAGGGGATTCTCATATTGTTATGACTTTGACTATGAATAGAAAATAGTTTAGCTGCTGCTTCACCATGGTAGCAGAGAAGACTACGGATAGATCTCTTTGAGAGGATTCTGGAATCGACGTGTTCAGTGATAGCAGTTGATGAAAAACTTGAACAGTGTTATTCATTATGGGCAGGACTATAAAGAGGCAAAATCTCTCAGACATGAAAGTCTTGTGCTACCATATCAGGTTAAAAAACAACCTTGAATAGCTGAGATACTGGTGAAAGACAAGGGGACATGAATTAGATTGTGGATAAGGAAAATTATTAATATCAACTAAGGGCTTGTGGCTACCAGCAGAAATGAAGATTACAGCATCTGTTTATATTTTCCTCCATATATATGGTATGTGTGTGTGTGTGTGTGTATATATATATATATATATGGCATGTATGTATATATATGCTAGCTTTCTTCTTTTATCTCCCTTTCTTCATGTTTCACATATACATAAGATGTGTCATTGGTTAGCTTTCACATTTGATTCAGAAGTTCCAGAATGTCACGATGGGATTGTGATTGGAGTAGAGGAGATCTTGGTTGTGGACTTGAATGCAGTAATTGATAGGATTTGAGTTGTTCCCACATTGTGTGAAGGATAGTTGCATTATGTTAGGCCAGAGAGTTTCTTTTTTACTGAAGAGTAAATTGGTAAGAGAGGGTATGAGTTAATATTGTGCAACTGGAAAGATGGATTCTAATGAGCATTCATTGTGATTTTTGGATTCCCAATTTCTGCAACTCCTTCCAAAGCTAGGTAATCCCCTACCTCACATTTATTGGGAAGAGAACCTACTTCTCCCTATAGAACAGGAAATCCTGAATAAGTGATTTGCTAACCTCTCTTGCAGCTAAGATGTGGGCATGTGACTGCCCATCAGACAGCCCTGACTTAGCCTTTGATACAGGGAAGGGGAGATCAAGAAAGACCAATGGCAGAAACAGCCATTGCAGTAAGATGGATTCCTGGGGCAGCAGTGACAGCAGTATTACTGGCGTCATCCCATGTCCAGTGATAGCTGTGTCAAAGCTATAAACTGCAACGTTTATGCTTGGAGGCAATAGCAACATTGGTATACTAATCAGACTAGTTCTATGGCATGATTTGGGCCATTGTAGCTGCTGTGGAGTCTTCTGAACCTGGTTCTCCAGCTGACTGGTGTTTTTGAAAGGTATCCATGATAATTTTCATGAAATCCTTTTCTGCTTAACTCAGCAAGTCTTGGTTTTTGTTATTTGCAACTCAGAACTCTGAGTGAGGCCAGAATGTAGCCAATAGTTAAAAAATTACTTGAACCCTGAACTAGCCAGCTCATCTCTACTTCTCTCTCTGTGTTTCCAATTTTTCCTCTCTATAGACTTTTGCTTTTCTATCAGTAAGTCATTCGGATACAGTTGCAAGCTGGATTTATGTATTACAGGCCAAGTCATATTGAGAATGACCTGCAGGACCCCAGTCCCAAATCCAGGAAACCTAGTCCGATTATGAGTCCTCACTGGGAAGAGGCTGATGAAGTATAAAGTGGGCTGCTGTAGCCACAACCCTGAGTGTCTATGGATTAGGGGGCCATTCTCAGAAAAGGGTGATCCATTGTGAACAAGCTGGGGAAACATCATCCCCCAAAAGTCTACTCTAGGAGCATGGAGTTCCTCATTCATGGCATGAAGTGCACTCCCTGATATCTCTTCTCCCTTGCAAAAGGATTATCCTTTACACCCAATACTTTAAAGAATCAGGCACATTTCTGTAATGCCACCACTTCCTCTCCCCAAACCCCCAGGATCACTATCTAAAAATGCATCACTAACTCTATGCAGTAAATGACCAAATATGAGGAGAAAAAGGAAGGTTTCACTCAGATAACACTGCAATAGCCCTAGTTTTTACCTCTCTCTCTCTCTGTCTCTGTCTCTCTCTGTCTCTGTCTCTCTCTCTGTCTCTCTCTTTCTCTGTCTCTGTCTCTCTGTCTCTCTCTCTGTCTCTCTGTCTCTCTCTCTGTCTCTCTCTCTGTCTCTCTCTCTCTCTCTCTCTCTCTCTCTCTCTCTCTCTCTCTCTCTCGTTCTTGCTATGTGTCCCAAGCTGGATTCAAACTCCTGGGCTCAAGTAAATCTCCCACCCCATTCTCCCAAGTAGCTGGGACTATGGGCATATGCCACTGTGCCCAGCTATAACCTCAGTTTCTGAGTTAAGAAAGACAAAAGAAGGATGTTTTCATAACTGACTTTTCAAACCTATAAGCATAAACCCACATCAGCAAGGTGACACAATTTGAGGTCTCAGGGAATGTTCTCTGGGACTAATCTCCACCCAGATTGCTTTATCTACACGTTCTGACACAGGACTTAGAGAATATCTTTGTCATCATTGTTGGATCTGCAGAGACCAGAAAATAAGTGTGACAATTACTTTCTTCTTGTCCCTAATGAGACTCTAAGGGAGTCTAGTCCCAGGGGCCATGGAGGCTCCTGTAAAAACCTGTCTGTGATTCCCCCAAACATCCTTCTGGCACAGAAGGCTAAGGCCTCAAACATTTGCTCTTCACTTGTTCAAGACTGTATTTCTAATTGTTTTAAGGGCTTAGAATAAAAAGGAGCTTTGATCAGTCCCTCCAAGGGGAAGAACACTTGATAGTGACACCAGCAACTTATCCCAGGTAATATTATAACAGAGGAGATGTCAACATTTCTTTACTAATGAGTGAAGTTCTTTGATAAACTCCCCTTGCTAAATCTTCCACATACAGGGAGCGGTAGTAAGAGTTCTCAGTCCACCCGCTGGAGCCTGAGAGGGACAGGGTAATATCTCCTTCTCTTGTCTGTATAAGCTCCTGGGGAGGGGGAGAAAGCCTGGGAATATTAAAAGGGAAACATATAATAGCAGAGAAGGGATGTATATGTATATGTGCCTTGTCTTCATGTTATTTTTATACAATTAAAAGCATAAGTCCAGTGGGACACCATCACCTAGAAGTGGGAGTTGGAAATTGGGGATGTAGGAACTAGAGGTGGATCCTTACTGAGCAAGTTTGTTAACATGACCGTGGCCGGAGCTTGACTTGTTACATGCAAACACTCAGCTTCTACATTTCTGACCTCTGGCTCTCTTCTCTACATCTGGGCTCAGGCTGATGAGAGGCACAAACCAGTCGAGTGTCTCCGAGTTCTTCCTCCTGGGACTCTCCAGGCAGCCCCAGCAGCAGCAGCTCCTCTTCGTGCTCTTCCTGAGCATGTACCTGGCCACGGTCCTGGGAAACCTGCTGCTCATCCTGGCTGTCAGCACTGACTCCCGCCTGCACACCCCCATGTACTTCTTCCTCGGCAACCTGTCCTTCGTGGACGTCTGCTTCTCCTCCACCACCACCCCCAAGATGCTGGCCAATCATGTGCTCAGGATCCAGACCATCTTCTTCTCTGGCTGCCTCACACAGTTATATTTTCTCATTGTGTTTGCTGACATGGACAATTTCCTCCTGGCTGTGATGGCCTATGACCGCTTTGTGGCCGTGTGCCACCCCTTACATTACATGACAAAGATGACCCATCAGTTCTGTGCCCTGCTGGTTGCTGGGTCGTGGGTTGTGGCCAGCCTGAATGCTCTGTTGCACACCCTGCTGATGGCTCGACTCTCATTCTGTGCAGACAACACCATCCCCCACTTCTTCTGTGATGTGACTCCTCTCCTGAGACTCTCCTGCTCAGACACTCACCTCAATGAGATGATGATTCTTATTGCAGCAGGGCCTATAATGATCGTCCCATTTATTTGCATCCTGGTGTCATATGTCCTTATTGCTTGTGCTGTCCTGAGAGTCCCATCTACAAAGGGAAGATGGAAAGCCTTCTCCACCTGTGGCTCCCACCTGGCTGTCGTGTTCCTCTTCTATGGCACCATCATATCTCTCTATTTCAACCCCTCATCCTCTCACTCAGCTGAGAAAGATATAGCAGCCGCCGTGATGTATACAGTGGTGACCCCCATGCTAAACCCTGTCATCTATAGCCTCAGGAACAAGGACATAAAAGGGGCTCTTGGAAAAGTGATTGCCATGAAATTTTTTTTTACTCAGTAAAGGTATGGCCTAAGAACATTATGGAGGTAACTAATTTTCTAAGAAAATCCTGTTTGTTTTTTCTACTCTATGAAACTTACCATTTGTCTTTTGTAAGAGAAACATCTACTATGTACCTTGGGAGAATAAAATTCTTGATAGAGACCCTTTAGGTTAAAGATGGAAAGAGAGACCCTTTAATGAAAAGACTTGACTATCCGAATTATCAATGCCCTCTGGCCAAACCCCACCAGGAACATCCCTGTAGCTCCACAAATTGGATTTGTTACTTACTATAACAGGGAACAGGGAAGGTTCTCCACAGCATGACTAAAAGGAGCTGGGCTTGTGTTATGGCTGTTAGGAATTAGGAACCATCTTTCCTCTGGATTAAATGTTGTTACAGAATAGGGGTAATTCTGATTGGATATCTTAATGTATTTTATTTAAAGGAAGGAAGACTAGACTGAGGCCAAACCTGTGACTGGCAAGGAAGCAGCAATCACTCACATCAGGCAGGGCAGGGGGATGTTGGTCCTTTTTGTGCCTAGGACAGTGTTCACGTTTCCTGTTGAGACTTGACTACAGAGTAGTCTTGTTTGATTTTGTTCCGTCACAGTCCCAGAGTGGACTTATCTGCTACTGATGTTCTGTGAGATTCTCTGTGTTCATCCAGAGGGCACCAAGACCTAGCTGTGAGTGCCAGGCCGACTCCTGAGTGTCAGGGCTGTTGACTGTTCCTCGTGGCAGACGCCTTGAGATGAGCCAACCGTCTGAAACGGGAACATGAACTGATGTTGGGGCCAGAGAGGGAGAGAGTTCATTGAAAGCTCCGGAAAGCCCTAATTGTGTCACTCATTTGAACAAATTATTTTGTTTCTTCTTCCTGAGCTTTGTGTGTCCACATTACAGCAGGTGTATGGGTAAGTTAAACAAGAAAGAAATACCTCCCACAATTCCAGTGTCCAGCCTTGTCCATCAACTGCACTTTTTGTTTTCACCCTGTGCTTATCCTGGTGTCAGTGCACTCAGATATTTTTATTTAGATACCAACTTGTATCCTGGTTTTCAGCTTTTTTATGACAAAGCTTTTCAAGGTGCTACTTGATCTCCACAACTTTATGTTATTATCTTTATATATCTCTATCAAGTTCTGTAGCAAAATATACTTATTAGCACTTCTGTTTCTGAATTAAAGCATAAAGGAAATTTAGTCCTTTAAAAACATGATCTGAATTTTGAAAATGATTGCAGACTATATAAAAATCAATACAAAACTAGCTAGTTTCTCTTTGTCTTTGACTTTCAGCATTTTTACTATGATGTATGTGTTCTTGGTTCTCTTAGTGTTTATCCTACTTGAAGTTTACTGAGCTTCCTGTAAATATAGGTTGTTGTTTTCTAAATAAATTTAGGAAGTTTTCAGCCATTATTTCTTCAATTATTTTACTCTTCCTTTCTTTCCTCTCCTTCTGCTATTCCCATGATGTGTATTTGGTGTGCTTTCCTATAATGATGTTCTTGTATATTTATCAATCATTTGGATTTCCTAATTTCCCATTTTGGGGGTTTTTTAGTCAGTGCATTATACTTCTATCGTGGCCCTCATCCTCATGCTCCGAGACATTCCCAGAAGGGAAAAATGAAGCATATAATTGACATATTTTAATCTTAAAAATTTTAACTAAGAAACACTTTGCTATGGAAAATTTCAAACATACACAATAGTTGACAGCAGAGAGCAGTGAAGTGAGGTGTACTCATTACCTAGACCATGGCATCAATCCTGACCAGTATTGTTTCGTCTACCCTCTTGGCCTCCTTCCTCCTCCTGTTTAATTTAAATCCCAGGTATCATTTCATCTATAAATACTTCTATATGTGTCTTATATGATAAGGATGCTCTTTTTAAGAAAATAACCCTATAGCATTATCATGCTTTGGAAAATTGATAATAGTTCCTTAATTTTATCAAATGTCTAGAATTGTGTCATGAAAGTCTTCTATTTTTTCTCTTCAATGTTTGAATCAAGACCCAAAGTCTACATGTTACATACAGTTGTTATGTCCTTTAACTGTAATATAAACTTTCATTTAAACAATTCATATGTTCCCTTTCCATATCTCTTATTCTTGCAATGTATTTATTGAAAAAAACCTAAGCTATTTGTGCTATTGAGTCTCCCACAATCTGGATTTTTGTAAGTGCATCTGCATTGTACAATTTAAAACATTTCTCTGTCCTTTATATTTCCTTTAAATAGAATTTGAATCTGGAGGCTTGATCAGATTCAAATTCAATTTTTTTTTTTTTTTTTTTTGGAATACTACATTATGGATGGCAATATCTTCTTCAATCAGAAGGTACACAATGTCTGGTAGTCTCTGTTGCCTCCCCTGACCTTTTTTTATTTTTGAGCTAGGGTCTCCGCCGGGTGTTGCTCAGGCTGGAGTTGCAGTGGGTCAGTCATAGCTCACTGTAATTGGAACTCCTGGGCTCAAGTGATCATCTTGCCTCATCCTCCCAGGTAGCCGGGAGTAGAGGCATGTGCCAGCATGCCTGGCTAATCTTTTCCATTTATAGTTGATTGGCTAATTTCTTTCTTTTTTTTTTTTTTTTTAAGTAGAGGTGGGATCTCACTTTTGCTCAGGCTGGTCTCAAACTCCTGAGCTCAAGCAATCCTCCCGCCTCGGCCTCCAGAGTGCTAGGATTACAGGTGTGAGCCAGCATGCCTGGCCAGTGAGCATTGATTAATGCTAAGATGGATGAATTCATTAGATGTTGCAAGATAGTCATTAATTTTTTAGTGATTAGAACATTTTTATCTACCAGAATTTTTTTTTTCAGGCAGAGTTTCACTTTGTTGCCCAGGCTAGAGTGAATGCCGTGGCATCAGCCTAGCTCACAGCAACCTCAAACTCCTGGGCTCAAGCAATCCTCCTGCCTCAGTCTCCCGAGTAGCTGGGACTACAAGCATGCGCCACCATGCCCGGCTAATTTTTTTTTTGTATATATATTTTTAGTTGGTCAATTAATTTCTTTCTATTTTTAGTAGAGACCAGGCTGGTTTCGAACGTTCTGACCTTGATGCGATTTGCCCACTCAGCCTCCCAGAGTGCTAGGGATTACAGGCCGTGAGCCAAATTTTATTAATAGATACTTCCCATAATCAGTTACTGGTTTCCCAACAGCTTGTATAGCTGTGGGATTAGAAATGTGGGAGTAGATAAATGTGGGATTCTTTCCCTTTGTCCACAAGTGTTCAAAATAATGACTAATGAATCAATAGCATCCTCCAATGGCAACCAACTGAAAAACATTTAAGTATAGTTATAAACTCTAAGATTTACATGTATTTGATATTTTTCAATAATTGAAGTTATTATGCTTTTTGATGTTTAAATTGTCTTATCTTTGTCCCATGGGAATCTCTCTAAGTTGGCTTCTGAGTTCTTTTGACAGAATCTGAGGGATCTTTTGATAGCGTCCTCACTATCTGGTATGACAAGGTCAACTAGAGTCATTTTGTACATTTTATGTCCCAGATCTAGAGTCTGCCACATATATAAAATGCTCTGCTTCCATTTTAGCAAGAGATTTTCCTCACTGCTATTGAATTGGTAATTTTTTCCAGCATCTTTTAGTGGACAGAAACACTTTTGGGTCATTTTTTGTTTGTTTGTTTTGTTTGAGATAAAGTCTCACTCTATCACTCCCAGGTTGAGTGTAGAGCCATCATCGTAGCTCACTTACTGCAACCTCAAACTCCTGAGTTCAAGCAATCCTCCTGCCTCAGCCCCTGAGTATCTGGGACTACAGGCATGCACCACCATGCACCAGCTAATTTTTTCTATTTTTAGTACAGACAAGGTCTCAACCCTTGTTAAGACTGGCCTGGCACTCCAGACCTCAAGCAATCCTCCCACCTTGACCTCCCAGAGTGCCAGGATTACAGGTGTGAGCCACTGTGCCTGGCCTCAGAAACACTTTCTTAAGATAAAAATACATCATGAGTCCATATTGATGCTTCCAATTCAAATTCAGGACTGCAGGTTTTTCTCCTAACCTCTTTGATCACACATCTATATTGTCTATCTCCCATGCTGAGAGAATCTCAATGCCACCAAAAATAATAGAATGTTACATAGTCGTTTGCTTTGTGCCATAATAGTAAAAGGAAAATAGTGGGGGAAATCAAGATTTCTGTTTTGACCATGTTGAATTTGTCCATTGGACATCCATGTTGGACTATCAAGAAGAAGTTGTATATAGGGGTGAGACAACTTGACAATAGTGAATTTTTCTAACTGTGTATATGGACTAGCTCTTCATTTCTTTAGATATTCTTTGAAATTTTTAAAGACTTTAATCAAGTCTGGAAGTTTCCCTCATATAAATCTTGTTTATGTTTTATTATATTTATACCTAAAGATTTTCTGGTGCTATGTAAATGGTGTTGTATTTTTAATTTCAAATTCCAATTGTTCATTGCTTATATGTAGGAAAACAATTGGCTTTTGTATATTAACCTTGTATCTTGCAGCCTTGTTATAATCACTTAGGAGCCTCAGGAGGTTTTTAAAAAATCCATTCTTTGAGATTTTCATCATAGACAATTATGTAATCTGCAAAGACAGTTTTATTTCTTCCTTTCCAGTTTGTATATCTTTTATTTCCTATACTTGTCCTATTGCATAGCCAGGACTTCGGGTGAAAGGGGACATCCTTGTTCCTGATCCTTGTTCTGTATTCCTGATCTTAGGGGGAACAACACATCTAGTTTCTGGACAGTAAGTATGATATTAGCCATAAATTCTAGTACATGTACTTTATCAAGTTTAGGAAGTTCCTCTATATTCCTAGTTTGCTGAGGGTTTTTATCATTAATGAGTGTTGGATTTTGTTAAGTGCTTTTTCTACATCTATGTAGAAAAAAAACTATGATCATATGATTTTTCTTCATTAGCCTGTTAATGTGATGGATTATATTTATTGATTTTTTTTTTTTTTTTTTTTTTTTTTTGAGACAGAGTCTCGCTTGTTGCCCAGGCTACAGTGAGTGCCATGGCGTCAGCCTAGCTCACAGCAACCTCAAACTCCTGGGCTCAAGCGATCCTCCTGCCTCAGCCTCCCGAGTAGCTGGGACTACAGGCATGCGCCACCATGCCCGGGTAATTTTTTCTATATATTTTTACTTGGCCAATTAATTTCTTTCTATTTTTAGTAGAGACAGGGTCGCGCTCAGGCTGGTTTCGAACTTCTGACCTTGAGCGATTTGCCCGCCTCAGCCTCCCAGAGTGCTAGGATTACAGGCGTGAGCCACCGCATCCAGCCCAAAATATTTTTATTAATAGAAACTTCCCATAATCAGTTACTGGTTTCCCAACAGCTTGTATAGAAATAACAAGATAAATGTGGGATTCTTTCTCTTTGTCCACAAGTGTTCAAAATAATGACTAATGAATCAATAGCATCCTCCAATGGCAACCAACTGAAAAACATTTAAGTATAGTTATAAACTCTAAGATTTACATATATTTGATGTTTTTCAATAATTGTGGTAATTATCCTTTTTGATGTTCAAATTGTCCTATCTTTGTCCCATGGGAATCTCTTTAAGTTGGCTTCTGAGTTCTTTTGACAGAATCTGAGGGATCTTTCGATAGCGTCCTCACTATCTGATACGACAAGGTCAACTAGACTCATTTTGGACATTTTCTGTCCCAGATCTAGAGTCTGCCACATATATAAAATGCTC